GTGGAATAATTTTTTTTTTTGGAAGCATCTATAGCCTAATGACTATATTCTATTAACCTAAAGCACTGTGCATTGTCTGGTTGTTCCATGTCAGGTATCCCGGCCAATGATCTAGACCAGGGGTGCCCAACCTTTTTTAAACCTAGATCTACTTTTGAAGTTGATGGCATGCCGAAATCTACCAAGCCAAACGCAAGGGATGGGTAGTATTTGTTTTTTTATTTGCAGAGGTGGAGGTGGAGAATAAACAGTAAGTTTAACAGTCATATCCTTAATTCACTGTATATATATATATATATATCTATATCTATAGATATAGATATATATATATATAGATATATATATATATATATTACTACTTTTTAAGGCTGCACTTTAAAAAAAAAGATGAAATTGTCCAGAGAGCTGTTCCAAACTAAATTTCTTTTTGTCTTACACTTGCGTAAACAAAATGACAAATAAACTCTGTCTAAGATCACTTCAAAGTAGGAAGAAGGAGAAGGGAAGTCCACTATTTCAGAATGATAAACTTCACTGGGCATCGGCAGAGAACCTGCCAGATGGATTAAAATTCAATTGGAAAACAGATAAAAATAGGAAAATACTAACTCCAAAATATGTGGATGTGAAGATGTATACAGGAGAATGGGTTGTCTACTGTTTCAGAAACTTTTTAATTTTGGGCAAAAGTTCCAAAAATCTTTTGAGGAATCTGCCACACCTCAGCCACCTGACGTCAGTATGCAGCAGCAGAACAGTGTGGTCTGCACCTGCCTCCTGGAGCTGGGCACAGAATAAACGCCTCTGAAAACTCCCGGCCCGAACAGAGCAAGCGATCTTCATTGCAACGTCCATGACATGTTTCATATTTAAAATATTGCCGCACAGCTGTTGTTGAAGAATGATGCAGCGGTAGTTTCAAAAATCTGTGAACGTTTCAGACAGCTTGGACAGAAAGGGCAATATTATTACCATTACTGTTAATATGTAGCAGAAATTTTACACATTCAGTGACAAAATGTCACAGGGGATGGTAAGGGGCATGGTCATTTAAGAAGGGGGATGATTTTTAAGATTTTTCTTAAAAAAAGGGATGCTATCCCAAATCAACTTGAGGACTGACTAAAATGGTAATCTGGGCTGTTGCATTATGGGTGATTCCCACCTCCCTTGCTATGATTGGTCCGTTCTGTTTTAGAATGAACAGATTCTGTCTCCTAATCTTGCAGAATGCTTCCTGCACGGTACACATGGAGAACAGCTGATAAGGTTACCATTGTTACCACGGTAACATACCTGCGCTGTTCTGCCTGTTGGCTGTGCTGCTGTTCAGACCTTCCACCTCCACTTCCTGGTCGTCATTGAGGATCAGCTTGACTCTCCTCCCAGTGTTGATGCTCCCACCGCCGTCTGACATGATTGAAGCCTGATCACGAAACACAGCAAAGAGAGGAAGCCATTCTATGTGGATCTATAGATATATTCACATGCTAAAAACAGAAGATCCAGTCAAGGAAATGGTGACTTTTAAAGAGAAAGACTGGATCAAAATCTATTAATTGAACAGCAAAAATTAATCGGCCCCAGAATCGCCCTACCTAAGCAGCAGTACTGAGATAAAGTCACCAGTAAGTCTCAAGTTTCTTCCCTGGTCAAGACATCTGAAGAGTCAAAGTCCAACACGTCAATATGAGCAAACACATCATTTATTTAGGGTGATAATTATTAAAATCATAATTAATTA